AATGCGGCAATTTTGCTTATTTACGTAGCCATTCAACCAGAAATGAGCCTCATCGCTGAACAAAATTTGTCAATAAAAAAGCGGATTTTCTGCCAACTTTTCTAGGGCCCATTCACTGAAAATTCGACGTTGTGGCAGATCGTTCGGCTTCAGTTCTTGCACGAGCTGTATTTTATACGGTTTTACACCAAGATCTTTGCGTCAAATCTTCCATGTGGTCGAATAACACAAACCCAATTGCTGCGAACGGCGACGAATCGACATTTCACGGTCTTCAGCAACACTCTCAGAAACAGACGCAATATTCTCTTCTGTACGCACTGTACGCATTCGTGTGGTTGGTTTAATGTCCAATAAAGTAAACTGAGTGCGAAACTTGATCACAATCGCATTAATTGTTTGCTCACTTGGTCGATTATGTAGACCATAAATCGGACGTAAAGCGTGAAACGCATTTCGAACCGAACACTGATTTTGGTAATAAAATTCAATGATTTGCAAGCGTTGCTCGTTAGTAAGTCTATTCATGATGAAATGTCAAAGCATACTGAGCATCTTTCTCTTTGACACCATGTCTGAAATCCCACGTGATCTGTCAAATACTAATGCATGAAAATCCTAACCTCAAAAAAATCACCCTTTATATTCATAATCAGCATAAAATTCCAAGTCGATTTAACGATGTCCGTCTGTCTGTCTGTCTGTCTGTTGAAATCACGATACAGCCCACATTATTTGACGTAGAGCGCCAAAATTTAGCAGAGCAATTTGTATTGTGTCTAGGATGGTTGGTATTGAAAATCGGTCCACGTTCTGGTATAGTCCCCATATAACGGTACCTCCCGATATTCGGTATATTGATGTTTATTGTCACGGATTTGTCTGAAAATTGGTATTTGTTGCTCATAATGGGTTCCAGGTCCGGTAGCGAAACATTGCATGTATGGGCCCACGATTTGGTGTAGCCCCCATATAACGGTACCTCCCGATATTAGGTATTTTTATTGTTTTTGCCACATTTTTTCACTGATTTCTCTAAAAATTGGTATTTGTAGGTCATAATTGGTCCTAGTTCGTGTGGCGAAACATTGTATGTATAGCTCCACGTTTTAGTATAGTCCTCATACAACGGTACCTCCCAATATTCGGTATTTTGATGATTTTTGACACATTTTTTCACGAATTTCTCTAAAAATTGGTAGTTGTAGATCATAATGGGTCCCAGTTCGTGTGGCGAGTCATTGTAATTATAGGTTCGCGTTTTGGTATAGCCGCCATATAACGGTACCCCCCGATATTCGGTAATTTGGTGATTTTTGCCAAATTTTTTCACGTATTTGTCTGAAAATTAGTATATGTAGGTCATAATGTTGGCGAAACCTTGCATGTGTAGGTCCACGATTTGGTATAGCCCCCATATAATGCTACCTCCCGATATTCGGCATTTTAATGCTTTTTGCCACGTTTCTTCTAACGTTTCCTTTACCCTAAGGTGGAGGGTATTAAAAATTTGGCCCGGCCGAACTTAATGTTTTTTTACTTGTTTAAAAAAATAAAGTCTATTTCATTTCTATAAAAATATTCTTATTTCTAAGTGATTTTTAATTCAAAAAAATATATTGTTTTTTTTTTTTTTTTTCAATTTCTGCACAAATTTCCTTCCTACCAATCCACCGCTCAGTCCATATTTGAACTGGAAAAAACATGTGTGTGCATCCCATTAAAATCTTATTTGTCGCAAGACAAACAAACAATGTGGTAAACAAGGAGATTTTAAAAGGGTTAAGGGAAAAATAATTTCGAAAACATATTTATTTCAAAACATCGTAAATGTCTTTTAAGGGACAATTTTGAAATTCGATTCTAATGGGATCTAAATTATAATAATAGAAAGGATCTGAAAATATTGTATATAGAAACTTGACAGAAATTTCAACAAAATATGTGTGAAAAGTATTTACATGGAATCATTCGCTATAACCGAGAGCTGCATACCCTCAAGCAATCCTTTGTTATTTAAATATATTTTGACTTGCGTGATTATTTATTTGACTATGATTATTTAAACTTTCGACGCTGATATGGGAATTTCCGAAGAAATGGGCCAATTTTTTCCAATCCATATCTGACATAAGTCTAATAAGGATATTAAAATGTATTTATATGGAATACATCCCTCACTTTATATGCGATATTTGATATTTTTCGAAAAATTCGCGTTTTAGAGAGTTATAATTACTTTAAATGTTGGCCCGTTATGGGGGAGGTACCAGAAGGAGTAGTCCGATATTATCCCTCTTAACAACAGCTCTAGTGTTGATAGAAGTACTGGAATGTGTCGACTTTGGCAGTAATCGGATGTTCATATTGCTTTTTATGAGCTTCATGGTTATTCCAAACTTTGACCCGTTGTGAGGGAGGTACTAGAAGCAGTGATCCATTCAATCCGTTCTTCATACCAGATCTTGTGTTAGTAGAAATATTGAAATGTGCAAAATCTGAAGATAATCGGTCACTTAGTTCAACTTTTACATAAGTTATAATTATTCAAAATGTTTACCCTTTGTAGGGGAGGTACCGGAAGGAGTTGTCCGATATCTATCATCTTCACACTAGATCTTGCTTAAGAAGAAGTATTGGAGTGTGTAAATTTGAAAAGAATCGGTGGCCCATTTTGCGTTTTGTGAGCTTTATGGCTATCCAAAATTTTTACCCGTTGTGGGGGAGGAACCAGAAGGAATATACCGATGTATCTCAACTTCACACCAGATATTTTGTGAACAAAAATATTGGGAGGTGTAAAATTTGAAGACAATTGAACTTTTATTTCTCATTTTATAAGAGTAAAAATTATTCGAAATTTTGACCCTTTGTGAGTGAGGGGTACTTGATGGATTGGACAGATATTGTCCATTTTAGCACCTAACGTAGCAGTGGCAAAAATATTGTAATGTGCCACGCTTGCACAAAATCGAATGATCCTTTCTCTTTCTATGAGGTAAATTATTTTCTTTGAATATTTTGCCCTTTAGTGGGGGAGGTACCAGAAGTAGTGGATCGATTTCCGAACTGGAGCTAAGTTTGAAGATAATATTAAGATGTTTCAAGTTTGGAACAAATCGGATACTCCCTTCGAGAGTTATCGTGCGTACCAGCCAGACAGACAGACCGACGGAGCTTTCTAGATCGACTCCAAATGTCCTGAAAAGGTTTTGATCCAAAGAAACCTAGAGTCTAAAACCGTTATTTTGATGAGGCACGTTTTGGCCGTATCAGAAGATATATTTGCCTATATGGCTAGAGGGGCTTAGGGTATAAAAAATGTTTGAACGTCTTTATCTTAAATAGCTAAAACTCTTCTTCTAGAAGACCAGAAGGTCTTCTCATAGCAGATCAGAAGGTCTTCTCATAGAATACCAGAAGGTCTTCTCATAGAAGGCCAGAAGGTCTTCGCATAGAAAGCCAGAAGGTCTTCGCATAGAAGGCCAGAAGGTCTTCTTATAGAAGACCAGAAGGTCTTCTCATAGAAGACCAGAAGGTCTTCTCATAGAAGAGCAGAAGGTCTTCTCATAGAAAAGCAGAAGGTCTTCTCATAGAAGACCAGAAGGTCTTCTCATAGAAGACCAGAAGGTCTTCTCATAGAAGACCAGAAGGTCTTCTCATAGAAGACCTGAAGAAGGTCTTCTCATAGAAGAGCTGAAGGTCTTCTCATAGAAGACCTGAAGAAGGTCTTCTCATAGAAGAGCTGAAGGTCTTCTCATAGAAGAGCTGAAGGTCTTCTCATAGAAGAGCTGAAGGTCTTCTCATAGAAGAGCTGAAGGTCTTCTCATAGAAGAGCTGAAGGTCTTCTCATAGAAGAGCTGAAGGTCTTCTCATAGAAGAGCTGAAGGTCTTCTCATAGAAGAGCTGAAGGTCTTCTCATAGAAGAGCTGAAGGTCTTCTCATAGAAGAGCTGAAGGTCTTTTCATAGAAGAGCGTAATGTCTTCTCATAGAAGAGCTGAAGGTCTTCTCATAGAAGAGCTGAAGGTCTTCTCATAGAAAAGCTGAAGGTCTTCCTATAGAAGACCAGAAGGTCTTCCTATAGAAGACCAGTAGGTCTTCTTATAGAAGACCAGAAGGTCTTCTTATGGAAGACCAGAAGGTCTTCTTATGGAAGACCAGAAGGTCTTCTTATATAAGACCAGAAGGTCTTCTTATAGAATACCAGAAGGTCTTCTTATAGAATACCAGAAGGTCTTCTTATAGAAGAGCAGAAGGACTTCTTATAGAAGGCCATAAGAAGGTCTTCTTATAGAAGACCAGAAGGACTTCTTATAGAAGACCAGAAGGTTTTCTTATAGAAGACCAAAAGGTCTTCTAATAGAAGACCAGAAGGACTTCTTATAGAAGGCCATATGAAGGTCTTCTCATAGAAGGCCATATGAATGTCTTCTCATAGAAGACTAGATAATGGTCTTTTCATAGAAGACCAGAAGAAGGGCTTCTCTTCGAAGACCAGAAGAAGAGCTTCTCATAGAAGACCAGAAGGTCTTCATATAGAAGATCAGAAGGTCTTCCTATAGAAGAACAGAAGGTCCTCCTATAGAAGAACAGAATGTCTTCTTCTTCTGATCTTCTCATGGCAAGGCACAATCATCAATCATGCTTGTGCATGCTTTCTTGTGTGGATGGGTTATCACTGCGCGAACCAACTACCTACTCAGCGGATTCGCTCTATATGCACTTCCCATACCTACGCTCTGCGCTCAAGTGTGCATACCGGCCTAGGGAACCAGATACTTGTTTGTTGCAAGGCAAACAAACAACATTGTAAACAAACAGATTTGGATAGAAAATTTTGCCAAAACGATGTTTGCCTGATAAGAAGACAATATCGGTGGCAAAAGTGGTACCTCAGAGTTCGGGGTATATATGAGAGCGTTGCAACTGCAAAAGAACATAGTCTTTCAACAGACAGCAGATCAGCAACATTACTTGCAAAAATATTGAAGTTATTAAAAAATACAACAACAAAAATGTCTTTCAATAACTCTGACTCATTTGAATATCGCCACAAGAAATTCGATCAAGGCAAACGGCCGAGAGAAGATTCCATCAGCAGTGGGAACAGCAGTATCTTGAGCGAGGATGAGGATCGTTTGCAAATCGATATTGAGAGTTTGGATGAGGAGCAAGACATGCAACAAACCAGCTACAGCTTCAATACTCCGAGCAGCAACACAACCACATCATCTTACCTTAATGAACATCGCTTGAATCCTGAAGGCATATCGGAGGAGCCACCATACAAAAGATCACGTACCGGATCATTTGGCTCGAATTCATCCTACAGTACCTACTCACCAATCATGGGACGTAATACCTCAACACCCATGATGATGCAGTCATCTACCGCACCAGTCCTGGCACCCACCACAGCAATTTTGCCGAAAATCAGCACCGAAACCCTGGCCAGCATTTGTAAATACCACGGGAATATGGTAAGGAAATTCCCCAAAAAAGAACGCACCCCCAAGGATCAAGAGAGGCGTGATAAGAACACCATAGCCTGTCGCATGAGTCGTCGTGTCAAGAAACTCGAACACATTGCCATTGAGGAGCAGTACAAGGAGTTCTCCCAGCAAACCTTTGAAATTATTGAAAGGGCAATGAGATCCACGGCCTATTTGCATGAACTGATGAAGCTTTCAAATGCTGTGACATCAGGTGCAGAGGAAGAAGAGCGAGATGTAAAAGTTTTCGGCATTAAGCAGGAACAAAACTCAACCATGACATCGGAGAAGAAACCATTCACGATAGCCTATCTAATGGGAGATCGGGAGTAGGGTAGTTGTTAAAAAGCAATTAAATTTAAGATTTATTTTTAATGGTTTTTAAATTTAGAGAAAAATATTGAAATTTCAATCACTGTGTGATTTTTGTATATATCAGGTTTTTTTTAATTAAAAATTGTGATAATAAATATAAACTTAAATAAATAAATATTTAATATTAAAATTGGAAAAATATTTTTTTCTTGATAAAAAGACACTGCAAAAGACAACTATTTATGGAATAATATATAGACTTTTTATTTCCTGCCAAATCTCGAGCCAAAAACACTTTACAACAAAAAAAATAATTAAATAAGGTCAGTGGATTTATCAACAATTTTAGCCCTCAACGTGTCAGCAAATAGTCCATTTCTGTTTTCTTATTAGCCAGTATTGATAATAGTTTTTCATGGTACATATAAAGTATACAAATTTCTTTTGCTCGGAGACTCACAATGAAATTCGATCTAGAATTATTCCTCCTTTAAGCTTATCCCCCAAAAATGAAGTATAAAGAGAGATTTTGACTTGGAGTGGATAGGTGTTAAATTAACAGCTAGCAAGTTAAAGAGTATCAGTCGTTTCTGTCGATAGATTGACACCCCCAGCCTTTACCCGTTTATTCAAATATATTTTGACATGTTTTATTATTTTTCAAAAATTTTGACCCCCTATAGAAGAGCTACCGATGGAGTACAGGGTGAGATAAAAAACGGGAACAAAGTCAAATGCCATATTTTTTAATTTTTTTTTTTTTTAATTTTATAGAATGAATGCAAAAATGTCGGAAATAGCATCAAATCTTAGAATAAGTTTAGATTTGTTCGAATTGGTCATCTTTGGCACGTATTATTGCCTTCAAACGACCAATGAAACTGTCAAACGCATGAAACATACTATGTAGGGCATATTAGATTTGTCACTTCATTTGCAACTACTATTTTAATGTATTAATGACCTCATAATATATATTCTGGATCAGCATAGAAATCAATGTTGATTTTGAAAGAGGGTGATAAAATTGAGAATTTTTGCAATTGAAAATGGAACATAAAGGTACACTTTTTTATAGTTCCCACATAACGATAACGCCCTATTTAAGGTATTTTTGGGGTTTTAGTCATGTACTTCAAAAGAAGAAAAAATCCTTACAAAGAAATGTCTATATACAGGGCGAGATAAAAAACTGCAACAAAGTCAAACACCATATTTTTTGCTTTATTTTTTTTTAAATTTTATTGAATGAGAGCAAGAAATGTCGGAAGTAGGCAAGTAAATACGATCATTTCGTTTATTTACAAACTGCTGGACAACGAATGTTTTCTCATCGTAGAAAACCAAATTCGGCAGTTCACCACTTTCGGCCAAGCGAAGCAACTATTTAGCTCTGTTGAGTCGATTTTCTTTCTGTTGCGGTGTAAGTTCTTGCTTTTTTGGAAATTCAATGGCTTTACCCCGAGCTCATTTTTCAATATTTGATATATTCAGCTCACAAGCCATTTTTCGGCCACTGCACCACGGGTTTCGATCAAGTCGCTTCTTTACTTTTCGAACCATTTCTGCTGATGTTGCTGTTTTCTTCCGTTCACTTCCTTGACGTCGGGCTACGCTATCAGTATCACGGTATCAAGCGATGTTACGAGACACAAAAGATTTATTCACATTTAAATGCTGGAGGGCTCTAACGATAGCCACTTCAGGTTTCTAGCCAAATATAAAAAAATCACATTATGACGCTTGAATTCCATCACGAATAAGTTTTTTTTCTGGAAAATTCTCACTAAAATGCTTTTGTACGCTTGTAAACAATATAATGACCTGTCACTGGAATTATTTTAACAGCTGTCGGACGAGTGGCTTAGAAATGACAGCAGCCTAAAGTTGGTTGCAATTTTTTCATCTCACCCTGTATATGTATAATTTCATAGCAAATGCCAAACGTGCAGGAAACTGAAATCTTTTGAAGTTGAGTGGCATTTCTTTTACAATTAGAGAATTCGAAGTAGCATCCTATTTCCCCATATTTTCTTACAGTTAGCCCAATACCGTAATTCAATCTAGACGGATCATCATATCCCAATCTGAACCGATTTCAATATAATTTGACAAAATTTACATTTACACCAAATTCGGTCACACCTTCCATATTTCATTGAAAGTAGTGGAATTAGAATTCGGCTGAGAATATATATGGGAGCTTATATTTTCTGATTAAATCCCGTCACACATTTTAAATGTCCAAATCTGAACCGATTTCAATATAATTTGGCAAATCTATTTTTGTTCCAAATTTGGCCCGATTTTTTGCCGATTTTCATTGGAATCGGAGATAGGTATCGTATTTGGTACATCAATCATGTAAAATCGGCCGAAAGTATATATGGGAGCTATATCTAATTCTGTACCGATTTCAATATAATTTTGGCAAACAAATTTTTTAGACAAATTCCATCACACATTCCAAATTTCATTGAAATATGGCGTACACAGCGTGTTTAAGGCATCAAATACATGAAATCGGCCGAAATTTATATCCAAATCTGTACCGATTTCAATATATTTTCGCAAATTTATTTTTGTTTCAAAATTTTAAGACAGTATCTGTAATAGATTAATAGATATGTGCACACAAAATCTAAATTTTTGGGAGGTACCTTCGATTCTGATACTATATCTCCAGTTCCAAGTGGAATTGGAAAATCTGCGCAGCGGTTGTTGAGTCCATAAATTACAAACAAACAAACATACAAACATTTTCCTCTTTTTTAGATATAGAAGAAGAAGATAGCTTTAAAGAGGTTTCCACACACATAGATTTGTCGGATAGACCTTTTGATCCACAGAAGACATCTTAAATGTCTTATATTTATACTTCGAATGAATCATTGTCAACTTCGGAAGCAGAATTCATATGAGTTTGCTTATTTTTATACCAAACTGGCTGATAAATGTGTGAAGATTAAAGAAATTAAAACGTGAATTATTTTTATATTTAGAAATTCTGTATTTAAGCCGAACTCATCATTACCAGCAGTGAATTGACATTTTTGTTAAACTTCGATCTGATATATACGATTTATTTCATGTTTCTTTTAAGAATGGCCGGCGAATGATTTGCAGTTGTAAACGTGCCAGACATAGTCATGCTGCATCGAAATAGTGTAATTCAAATAAAAATTATGACTTGGATTTTGGAGCGGTCCTCTTTTTAGCAACGACTGTGATATTATTTGGATATACTATACGTACATTTGTTTCTGCTGGTAAATTCTCGTTAAATCTCTGCCAAAACGAATGAACCTTTAAAAATTAAGGGTTTATAGAAACAAGTAAGCAAAGGCTATAGTCGTGCGGGCCGACCATGTGATACCCTACAACACTAGAGAAGCCGTTTTATGTCCAAATCCATTTTGGAAGATTTCGCTTTCGAAATTATGTCCTATATGGGAAACCAATATTTCGAAGTGTTACATAATTTTTTAGCCAATCAAACTTATAATACCCCCAACACATTATGTTGTATGGTATAACAATTCTGATTAAATATTATTCTACCTAAAAAAATCGAATCATTAACTTAAAAACTCTGAGTATTTTAGTCATGAATTTTCTGCCCAATTTTTTATTTATTTTTTTTTTTTTTTAATTTTTTTTTTTTTATTTTTTATATTTTTTCAAAGGGTTACTCAATTTTATCCCCTTGACCTAAAGTGCAAATTTCACTTTAAATTTCACCACTACATAAAAAATCGTGATAACGTAATGTCATTCAATTCGACAAACAATCATGACGGTGTAATTAATTACATCGTGTATTTGTATTTTTTGTTGTATTCTAATCGATTACATTACATTGCTATTGATTCTGCTTAGTTTTAATGGTTAAGTAGCTGGATAATTTCAATAAAACTAAGGAAAATTATCTAACGCCAATCGAAGAGAATATTTTATAACGGATAGTAATTTACAACATTTATTTGTTTATAGGCATTTCGATTTTATGATGTCGCGGAATTTCATAAGCTAGACAATGAAACAAGTTTCTAATGATGCAGAGTATCAACTTTATTGACTGAAAGTTGCGAAGAGTTTAAATAGAATTAATAGTCATATAATATAATATTAGAGAAATGCGATATTTTTTTTTTTAGAAAAAAATACATATTATCTAAGATTCTACTCTACTTGGGGTGAGCATTTTAAGACTGAAATTGCATTGAAAGACATATAAAGGGTGATTTTTAAGCGCTATAGGCAAGATTTTCAAAAAAACCCATATAATTCAGATTAATGATTGAAATATTTGTTTGTATTCATAGTACGGTTCATGTAATTTAATGCTTGAAGATTATTTCATGGAAATGTTGACCGTGACTGCACCTTTAATGGTCCATCCATCATTTCGGCTAGTATCTCATGAATAATTGTTCGCACGATCTTGGAGGCCAATTGACCGGTCCCTAACATAAAGTAAAATATCCGAATGTCCTCAATAAGTCCATTGATATGTGTGCTGTGTGGCATATGGTATCGTTGAAACTATATGTCATGCCCTTGCATTTGAATATCATCTCACCATCACGAACGATGAAGCGGCATTGGTAAATTTTGCAATGCTTCTGGCTGATTTTTCCTTCAAAATTGGCAAGTCTACTTATTTACACATCCATTCAAACCAAAATGACCTCTTTAGCTAAACACAATTTTTCAATGAAAAAAAGTGAATTTTCAGCGCACAAAAAATATTTGTTATGGTACATCATTCGGCTTCAATTCTTGCACCAGTTGTATTTTGAAAAGTCCTAAACCTTCCGACAAATTTTCCACGTTTCTGCGAATGGCGCGAGTCAATATTTGATGGTCTTAATAGTCGATACAGCTGCAATATTGTCCTTAGTTCGCACCCTACGTAAGTGTGTTGATGGTTCAGTGGCCAAAAATCAAAATTGGAACGAAATTTAGTCACAAAAAGCGAATGGGTTCTTCAGATGGTCGGTAAAATTGTCCATAAA